AACCCAAGACCACTCCTTGGAGTGTGGTTCACGAGGTGCCTCTCACCTGGGTGGTGACTGGGTCTGTTGGACACTCTATCCGGTGCATGCGTGCTAGGTCACTTCAGTCACATCTGACTGTTTGCAACGCTATGGACCACAGCCCATCAGGCTCCCCCATCTATGGGATTCTCCAGGCAAGAATACTGGAATGGGTTGCCATGTCTTTCTCCAGGGGATCTTCCCGACCTAGGGATCGAACCCATGTCTCTTATGTCTCCTGCATTGGCAGGCAGGTTCTTTACCACTAGCGCCACCTGGGAAGACCACTCTATTCAGTTCAGTTCAATTGCTCAGTCGTGTCTGACTCTTTGCGACCCCATGGACTGCAGCACGCCAGGCCTCCCTGTCCATCAACAACTTTCGGAGTTTACTCAGACTCATGTCCATTGAGTCGGTGTTGTCATCCAACCATTTCATCCTCTGTCATCCCCTTCTCTTCCTGTCTTTCAATCTTTCCCAGCATCAGGGTCTTTTCAAATGAGTCAGTTCTTCGCAGCAGGTGGCCAGAGTACTGGAATTTCAGCTTCAGCATCAGTCCTTCCAATGAACACCCAGGACTGATCTCCTTTAGGATGGACTGGTTGTGTCTCCTTGCAGTCCAAGGGACTCTCAAGAATGTTCTCCAACACCACAGTTCAAAAGCATCAATTCTTTGGCACTCAGCTTTCTTTATAGTCCAAGTTTCACATCCACACACGGCTAAAGGAAAAACCCTCTATTCAGTACATCTGATCAAAGACGCTCACTCACTTCCCCCATCAGCTGATCGGGATTAAGAACCAGGCGTGGAAAAAGTTGTTTTAAAGCTCAAAGCTGGGGCAGAAGAGACAAAACTTACATGTTCTTTGCGTGACTGGGAGCCACATAGTCGACAAAAACCAGGTTGATGCAGGTCACTAAGACAGAGACAGCCAGGATCTCTGGATCTTATGGGGTGGGCCAGGTTTACTCTAAAGCCTGACTCTCTACCCCATCCACCCCCAAGTTATACCGCGTTAGCATCTGAGTGAGATAAAGAAACTAGCAATCACTTTGGAGGGAGAAACACGGGAGGAAAGGACAAACAAGGGTCCCACGCCCTGAGCCTTCACTCCAGACACATGCGCTGGGTGATGCTGTGGGCGGGGCTCCCAGTGGGCCACCTGGAAGAGCAGAAACTGCAGGGCTCTTCAGGCAGACACAGGTGGGTCTAGCTCCATCTCTGCACTCGACAGCAACGGCACTTCAGCAAGTTATTAATACTTCATCTCTCTGAGTCTCCGTTTCCCGTTTGTAAAATGGGAATAAAAGCTTCTCGGAACAGTGGCACGCATTAACAAGAAGTGAGGAGCGACTAAGCTGTGTGCCACAACGACCAAGCCTGTGCTCTGGAGCCTGCAAGAAGCAACCACTCGGCCCTCATGTCCAGAGCCTGTGCTCCACGGCAAGAGAAGCCACCGCAATGAGAAGCCTGCGGACCACAACTAAAGGAAGCTGGGTGCAGCAACAGACACCGGCACAGCCCAAAATAAGCAAAATAAAAATAAATATTTTTTAAAAAGAAACTCATGATGACGAGGAAAGGAAGGAAGAAGGAACTCCGTGAGCGCTGAGCAGACTCATCACCACTGGGCCCAATGCTCTCCTCCCATTACCACTGCTCCTTGGGTCTGGGGGCCACCTAAGGGACCCACAGAAGGTACACGGGGGAGAACTCCCAGTGGAGCTGAGCGGAGACCGCACCAAAGAGGCCTCTGGGGCAGACAGCATTCGACAGGTCACGGCATGAGGCTCTGGCCAGGGGGTCTGGGGTGGGAGAGGGGGTTAGAGTGCTCTGCACCAGAGGCGGGAACACACAGAAAGAAAGGATGCAAGCAGGAGAGAAGACGGCAAAGGCTGAGGGCGGGCTACAGTGGCTGACAAGTGTTGCAGTGCTCGAGGAGGACCAGCCCCAAAGACAGGCCGCTCAGGTTAAGGTCAGCAAGGCGGCCGGTAAACTACAAGAGCACCTGGGACAAAGAGAGTAAGGAACACAGGTGCACTTCCGGGCGGGCTGCAAGAGGAGAGGTAGAGGGGGGCCTGGGAGAAAGAAAAATCAATGAGATTTTGACAGAGGGAAAAAAAAAATCACCATTAGAGGGAGAACTATCCACTCTTCAAATTGACAAGATTTATATTCAGGGTCAGCAGAGACTATATGGGGTGAGGACATCACAGATACAGCTGAGTAGGGAGCAGAGCGGGAATGAAGTTGATAAGAAAAACCCAGACAGGGCTGGAGGCAGAGGAAAAACACCCCACCCTCCACAAACTCACTGGCTACTGGCTTCACTCACCTTCAACTGGCCATTCACATTCCAATGCTGCCCTACACCTCAATCCAGCCAGTTCACGGCCTACTGGTCCAGAGGGGGCTCCCCTACTGCCCCCAAACAGAAACTACCCTGGAATCATACCCATGCTTCCCCGGTAATAATCGTGAACTTTTGGGAGGCCCTCAGCTAGACTGGAAGCGCCTGGTAGGTCTGGGTTAACAGGAATCCGTGGTGCAGCGCTTCACTTAACAAGTGTCAACAGTTAACAAGATTATCCAAGGAAGAAAGTCTGGCCATGGCATTATTCAACAAATATACAGAGAAAGAAACAGGAAAAAGCACACCAGGCAGTGAATGACCTGTCCACTCTGTGGAGCTCCCTACCTGCAAGGCCCAGATCCTTGGCCAGATGGAGAGAAGAAAGACCACCGTGAAGGGTGCTGGGTGGTGTAACTCCTTGGTCCTTGCTTCACGGGTTTACCTGACACCCCCTGGGTGCTGAGCACAGTCAGGGGCGCTGAGCAAGAGGCCTGAGCCTGGTCGAATGGGGACACAGCAGAGAGACCCACAGACCTCTGTGGACCACGACTGGTGCCGATGGGTGGTGTCAGGGCGGCACACTGCTGCGCGAGGGGGCTACTTAGGACAGATAAGCAGCGAAGGCCTCTCAGAACAACACGTGAGCTGCCACCTGAAGGGAGCCAGGCTCTGGCAGCATCAAGGAAAGAAACAGGGACGGACGCTTCAGGAAGGAGGAACAGCCTGCAGGACACCGGGAGGACAGACAGAGCTCAGGCTGTGGGAGGAGGAGAAAAGCCACAAGAAGGGCTGCAGTGTGGGTGCCAGAGCGGGGAAGAGGCAGGAGAGGCTGACAGGCACCTGGCCACCAGGGATTCCTGCAGGGTGGTGGCGAGGTGGTGGTGTTGCGGGGTGGGGGGGGTGTGGATTGGGACTTTAGTCTAAAGGATTCTAAGCAGGTGAATCACATGACCTGATTCAGGTTTTCACACCTGACCTTATAGCAGCCTTTCTCTAAAAACCACTGCCATTCTCTAAAGCTAATCCTTCATCGGTAAAGAATCCCCTCTCTTTGTTGTGTGGATAAGCACAAGTTAGAAATTATTTAATAAACTCTAAAGCACTCAACATTAGCTACTGTCATCAAAGTGCAAATTAAGGCAAGTGTCATTTGGATCGGAAGCTTTAAAAATCAGAGGCGCTTCATCATTAAATGAGCCTATGGGTGTTTCACCCCCCCATACCCTAAAATGTAGTGACTGGCCATTAATAATAATATGCAACATCTACAGGGAACTTAATAGCTTACAGAGCACTTTCATATCTGTTAATTAATAACCACAGGTCTCCAGTGTTTTGAATTTAGTGACAGTGTTACAAATTGGCTAGTTCTGGCAATATCTAGCAAGTAGGCACCATCTCTCTCCATGGGTCAGCTGACCAGTCATGATAACCTGCTTAAGAGCTCTTCAGGGGTTGGGCATTCTCACTGCTGTCATCTCTACTTCCAAATGTCCCAATCTGCCAGAGAAGGAAATAATAGTCCTAATTACAGGATCACAGAGTGATACCGATGTGCCAAGCATTGCTGTAAGCGCTTGCAATGCTTAATCTTCACCTGATCCCAATACTTTTTTAATATTCCCATTTTCCAAATAAGGTGACTGAGGCATGGAGAAGACAAGGGCGTCATCCAAGGACACCCAGAGGAGTAAGACCCAGAGCCAAGATCTGAACACGTGATAATGTAACCCTGTGTCCTCACTCTGAATCCCAACGCTGTGCTAGATCATTCTGGCAAACTGCATAAAATTTGGTGCCTGGTACGACGCACAAATTCAGCAAATAAGGGCAGCTGTTATCAGCAGGACATGGGTAGCTTCTAGGTCCCACGAGTGTGTCACCTCCAAGAGACCAGCGACCTTGTTAGTCTGGGTGACTGCTGCGCTCCCAGCGCCTGGCCCTATGCACATTTGAAGGATGGGTAAATGAATGAACGTGCCTCCCAGCAGGCAGGGCTGCCTGTGCACGGCTCTCACTTCAGGTCTGTGTCGCCCCTCGGTAAGAGCATCAGGCTGATCTGAGGCACAGCAAGGAGTCCGGAGACTTGAGACCCCCACCTCCCTTTCACAGCGCAGGAGTGCCGGAAGGGGCTCCCAAGGGACGAGACGAGTCCGGGGTCGCAAGGCTGGTGGGTCCCGGCTCCGGCGGGGCTCTACCCTCCACCGCGGCGGAGATGCTGGCCGCCCCGGCGCTGAGACCCGACAGGAGACAAAGACCCGCGGGGCCGCCGCACCCGCAAAAATGCTCGTGCCCCTCGCCCACCTTACCGGGAGGCAGCCGAATGCTACCATGTATCACCCGGCCTGGAAGCTGCGGAGAATACCGGGCGCCGGACGGAGCCGACACGCGATGCGGCCCTGCCTGCGGGGTTGCCGCCCGGAGGGGGTCGCCAGGGTGCGGGAGGCCGCGGGCCGGACCGGCCTGTCACCTTCAGGACCGCCCGCCCACTCGCCCGCTCTCCGCCGGGGACCCTCAGCGCGAGCCGCCGTCACCCTGCTGGACCTCCCCACGCCTAGGCCTCTCCGCAGCGCCCGACTCGCGCCCCGCCCGGCGACGCCGCACCCTCGCCCGTCGGACCCGTACCTGCTGGGAAAGGGGAATGAGCGGGGCCGCCATCTTCCCGCGGACTCGGGCTCCCAGCGCCGGCGGGGAATGGGGCGGGGCCGCGCGCGCGCACTGGTGCGAGGGGCGGTGCGCGCGCAGCCGAGCCCAGGGGAGGGCGGGGCCAAAGCGGGGCGGTGCAGGTTCTGCGGAGCTGAAAGGGCGGGGGGCGGGGGGCGGGGCCGCGCGCGCCAAGCCCCAGCCGAAAGGGGCGGGGCCTGGGAGGTGCGCGGACCGGGGACCTTTGCGGAATTCCTCCTGCGTTCCTTCACGACGTCTTCCAGGATTTCTCCGTTCTTGTGCCAAGGTCCCTTAGCCCTCCAGGTCCCTGCCGATTCTGGGCCCTCTTCAAGGGATGCCGTTCCCATTCCCGTGCGCCTGGCAAAAGGATCCTCATGCTTCCCAACAAGGCGCCCAGTTCCTAGGATAGGGTGTGTGTGTCTGTGTGTGTGTACATACCACCCTTCCCAACAACTGTTCCTAGGATAGTGGTCTGTGTGTGTGTGTGTACACCACCCTTTCCAACAAAGGGCCCTGTGTGTGTGTGTGTGTGTGTGTGTGTATGATATGGGCGTCAGCTAAACAGGGTTGCAGTATTTTCACCTCTCTGCACCACAGCAGCACCCACAACGCCGGGGATTACTTCCCAACCGCCACCTTCTTGATGTGTGACCTTGGCAAGTAGCCACTCTACAACCCCAGTTCCCTCTTCTGAAAAGAGGAAATAGTAGTATGTATTTGCTGTCATTCTACCTCTGCACTGTACCCTGCACAGAGCAGGCATCTGATGTTTGCCAGAGGACCATTACTGGAGAGGCATTTATTTCTTGAGACATGTGTTGCCTTCTTTTAGCTATGGACACCTGCTCATCTGTGGCTCAGACGGTAAAGAATCTGCCTTCAACACAGGATAACAGTTCGATCCCTGAGTCGGGAAGATCCCCTGGAGGAGGGTATGGCAACCCACTCCAGTATTCTTGCCTGGAGAATCCCATGGACAGAGGAGCCTGGTGGGCTACAGTCCATGGGGTCACAAAGATTCAAACACAACTGAGCGACTCTTTCTTTCCACTCATCCTTAGCCAATTTCCACTGAAAGGATGACGAAGGAAGGTCCCACTGGGTACTGCCCACAGTGACACAGGCTTCTTCAGCACAGGTTCCCCTTATGCGGTCTCTCTTGTGACAGCGGCACTTCTCAGGCAGTCAAGCTGGAAGGCTGAGCAATCCTGAGGAGGTGAGGGTCCACCTCCTCCACTCTGAAGTCTCACAAGCTTCCTGCTCCAGGGTCTTCAGCAACTTGATGTACCCTGTGCCACTCAAATGAGCACAACGTGCTTTGTGATTCATTCAACAAACTATTCACAGTCAAATGTTCACTGAACACAGGTGCTCCATTGGTGAGCTGGGCACACACATGCTCTCCACAAATGGGTCTCACCCTGGAGCTACCCAGAAGGTCTGCTAAACAGACTGGGTCTCTGATCCTGATTTATAGCTCTGGGTGGGACCTGAGTCTGCTGGGCTGCAAGGAGATCAAACCAGTCCATCCTAAAGGAAATCAACCCGGATTAGTCACTGCAAGGACTGGTGCTGAAGCTGATGCTCCAGTACTTTGGCCACCTGATACAAAGACTCTGATGGAAAAGACCCTGATGCTGGGAAGACTGAAGGCAAAAAAGGAGAAGGAAGTGGCAGAGGATGGCATCACCGACTCAGTGGACATGAGTTTGAGCAAATTCCAGGAGACAGTAGAGGGCAGGGAAGCCTGGGGTGCTGCAGTCCATGGGGGTCAAAAAGAGTTGGACACGACTCAGTGACTGAACAACAACAAACAAACCCCAGGAGGTGCTGAAGCTGCTGGTCTCAGGCCACCCCCGTGCCCCCACCATTGTGAGAACCACAAGTCTAGAAGGGAAAAAAAAATCCAAAAGAAAAAAAAAATCACGTGAGGAAATAGATAAGTATACACAGTGATAAGTGCTATAGAGTAGCCCAAGGGTGTGACCCTTGAAGACTGAGGGTGCATTCAGTGATGGCAGGGGCTTGGAACCACCACAAGCAAAAAGGAGCTGAAGAGCAAAGAAACATATTGAGACTGAGACACTGGAGCTCAGAGAGCAAGACAGAGGTCTTGAAAGTGAGAGCGAAAGTCGCTTAGTTGTGTCCGACTCTTTGCGACCCCATGGACTATACAGTCCATGGAATTCTCCAGGCCAAAATACTGGAGTGGGTAGCCTTTCCCTTCTCCAGGGGATCTTCCCAACCCAGGGATCAAACTCAAGTCTCCCGAATTGCAGGCAGATTCTTTATCAGCTGAGACCAAGAAGGTCTTGAGACAAGGCCAGATCACATAATAGTCTGATGGGACAGCACTGTGTGAAGAGCAGTGAAACAAGACCATGTGTGACTCAGCCTCGTTTTGAGACCATCTTGCTCTCCGAGCTCCAAGCTCTCAGTCTCACATGCTCCTTCACCCCTTGTGCACAGAGACAGGGGAGGCCACCAGACTGTTTTGCACATGATCAGCTCTGTATTCTAGAACAGTGGCTCTGGATAAGGCAGGCAAAGTGGATGGAGAGGGGATGGGTAGAAGCAAGTGGAACAGCTGGAAAGATGCTGCAGTGGTCCAGGCGGGAGTGACAGAGGCTTTTAGCTGCCTTGGGTGCTTTATCAGTCCATGTTCCATAAGGAAAAGAGAAGCTGGCAGTATCTGTATTTCACACAGAAGGCAATTTGATACAGGAGATTGAGTACAAAATTGGAAAAGCAGAGGGGAAGGCAAGGTTACTGAAGATTAGTAACAGGAGGAAACTGCTAGCCTCTTTAGGGAAAGGGTGTTATGCCAAAACCCACCACCACTGGGCGCTGAGCAGGAACCCGGATGCTGGTCCTCACTAGCCACCGCTGTTTCTGCCAGTATTGCTTTCTGCTTGTTTTGGCCATGCCACATTGTGGGATATTAGTTCCCATATCAGGGATCAAACCCATGCCCCCTGCATGGGAAGCTCAGAATCTTAACCCTTGGACCACCAGGGAAGTCCCTCTGCTGTTGTTGCTAAAGTCACTGCTATTTTTTCCACTGACTAAGGGGCAGCCAGGAGCCTGGGAAAAAAATGGCTTCTCCTCTCCACCTGTCTTCTGACGTCCTTCTCACAGAACATGACGGGACACTAGTGGGCAGGGGTGTCTGGGAAATGTGTGCAGGCTTCCAGCCTCACTGTCAATAGTCTACAGGGGCGACAACCACATAGAGACTCTCTGGCCTGGTGTTGACTGGAATCAGAGGCTCCAGGATAAGAGTCCCACCAGGTCACTCCCTCCACTGCTGTGGCAGCCATCCTGGGCAGGGATCAACCATCCTGGGGTCTCTCTCACCAGAGTCCAGAGCTGTACCATCCAACACAGTGGCCACTCCACATATGGTGATGTGCGTGCATGCCCAGTTGTGTCCGACTCTTTGTGACCCCATGGACTATAGCAGTCCAGGCTTCTCTGTCCTCCACTATCTCCCGGAGTTTGCTCAAATCCATGTCCAGTGAGCTAGTGATGCTCTCTAACATCCCATCCTCTGCCTCCCCCTTCTCCTTTTGCCTTCAATCTTATCAGGGTCTTTCCAATGAGTAGGCTCTTTGCATCAGATAGCCAAATTACTGGAGCTTCAGTGTCAGTCCTTCCAATGAATGTTCAGGGTTGATTTCTTTTAGGATTGACGGGTTTGATCTCCTTGCTGTCCAAGGGACTCTCAAGAGTCTTCTCTAACACTGCAGTTTGAAAGCATCAGTTCTTCGGTGCTCAGCCTTCTTTATGGTCCAAATCTCACATCTGTACATGACTACTGGAAAAACGATAGCTCTGATTATACAGACCTTTGTCAACAAAGTGATATCTCTGCTTTTTAATGTGCTATCGAGGTTTGTCTTGGGGCTTCTCTGGTGGTTCAGACAGTAAGGAATCTGCCTGCAATGCAGGAGACCCAGGTTTGATCCCTGAGTCAAGAAGATCCCCTGGAGAAGGGAATGGCTACTCACTCTAGTATTCTTGCCTGGAGAATTCCATGGACTGAGGAGCCTGGTGGGCTAGTCCATGGGGTCGAATGAGTCAGACATGACTAAGTGACTAACACTTTCAATTTCACTTCACTAGGTTTGTCATAGCTTTTGTTAACCATAATGATGTCATTTTAACTTGATTACCTCTATAAAGACTTTATATTTAAAAAAAATTTTTATTTATGTATTTTTGGCCACAAAGTATATGGGATCTTGATTCCCCAACCAGGGACTGAACTATGCCCCCTGCATTGGAAGCTCAGAGTCTTAACCACTGGACAACCAGGGAAGTCCCAAGACTTTATTTCTCATTTTAAAATGTATAGAAATACTCAATCACTACATTATGGAATAGTAATTAACATAGTGTTGTAGGACAATTATACTTCAAAAATAAGCTCAGAGAAAAAGAGATCACATTTGTGGTTACCAGAGGCAGGGGGCTGGGGGAAGGGAATTGGATGAAGGCAGTCAAAAGGTACAAACTTCCAGTTATAAGAAAAATAAGTACTAGGAATATAATGTACCACAGGATAAATATAATTAACACTGCTGTATGTTATATATAAAAGGTGTTGGGAGTAAATCTTGTGTTCTCAGCACAAAGAAAACATATATTCTTTCCTATTTCTTTAATTTTATATCTATATGAAATGATGGACATTCACTGAGTTTATTGTGGTCATCCTTTCATGATGTATGTAAATCAAATCATTATGCTATACACCTGAAATATACACAGGACTGTATGTCAATTATATATCAATAAAACTGGAAGAAAAAAATTACAATTAAGTGAGATTAAAAATTCATTCCTCCTGAGAAGGTACAGCACCAAGTGCAAACCCTAATGCACAATACGAACTCTGGATGATAATGATGTATCCGTGTAGGTTCATCAATTGTCAGAAATGAACCACGGTGGTGTGGGATGTCATTGGTAGGGCAGGGTATACAAATGTGGGGACAGACAGTATATGGAAACTCTCTCAGTTCTGCTCAGTTTTGCTGTGGATTTAAAACTTCTCTAGAAAATGAAGTTTATTTATTTTTATTTTTTTGGTCGCATCTTGAGGCAACCAACCTTGAGGTGGGATCTTAGTTCCCTGAACAGGGATTGAACTCATGCCCCCTGCAGTGGAAGCATGTTTTCTTAAACCACTGAATCACCAGCGAAGACCCAATGAAGTTTATTAATTTAAAAAAAAATTCATTTCTCAGTCCCACCAGGCACATTTTAAGGGTTCACATGTGACTAGTGGCTACTGTATTAGCCACAAACATGAAGAAAGTTCTCCAGGATTGTGCTGCTGCAGAAAATGAGTCCTGCTGGGACTGAGCTGGTCTGACCCATCTTTGTTCAGCTGTTTCTGGCATTTTCTCTCGAGTTCTAGCACTGCTTCTTTGCTCATTAACTTTTCCCTTGTTTAGAGATTTTAAAGGTGGGCAGTGTTTGAATCCCGCCCCTGCGCTTCCAGGGAGTCAGTCTGTAGCTTCTGAGACTAGTTTGTTGTTGTTCAGTTGCCATTAAGTGCCCAACTCTTTGTAACCCCATGGACTGCAGCCCGCCAGGCCCCTCTGTCCCTGAGGTTTCCCAGGCAAGAATACTGGAGTGGGTTGCCATTTCCCCCTCCAAGAGAACCTCCCAGCCCACAGATCGAACCTGGGACTCCTGCATGAGCAGGCAGATTCTTCACCACCGAGGCACCAGAGAAGACTTCTGAGACTGATAGCCACTGATTACCTGGGAAGACCAAAATGATCCAGCAGCCGAGGAAGTTCAAGGTCGCAAGTCTGCCGACTCCGACCGGAGCCAGAACAAAACTTGCCCAACCTTCACTTCCTGGTCAGACTTTTCACACACATCATTTATCCAAATGCTCAGTATCATTTCCAATTTTATTTGGCTTCCTTGTAACATGACTGAATTCCAAATTCCAAAATTGGTGTCCTCGATTTGATTATTCCCAACACAAATTTCTGTGTGAAAACAGAGCTCTTCAAAACAGAAGCCTCTATGTGTAACTTTTTCAAAGCAAGTCATTTGACTTAAGGGAAAAAAAAATTAAACTGCAAAGTAATCACTATTTTCACTTGAGAGAATAGATTTCATTGCTCTGTTTTACAGGGAACCAACGGCCATAGAAGTGGGCCACAGAGTTGGGGGGAAAGCATCACCTTCTTTATGGAATATTAAACATCTGTGCACAAGGCCTGGATTCTCTGGAATAACCAGCGTGCAAGGGAGGCATGCAAAAACCTTTCCAGACCAAGGGTGCTGCATAAAGATTCCATACTGAAAAAGTTTCCCATATGTTATTAGGATCTTCCCAACCCAGGGATCAAACCCAGGTCTCCCGCATTGCAGGTGGATTTTTTACCAGCTGAGCCACAGGAAGTCCAAGAATACTGGAGTGGATAGCCTACCCCTTCTCCAGGGGATTTTCCCAACCAAGGAATCAAACTGGGGTCTCCTGCATTGCAGGCAGGAGAGCAACTGATTTCTTTACCAACTGAGCTATCAGGGAAGCCCTAGTAATTTACAACCCAAAGCAATGAAGCATCGTTTCTCCTTTCTCAAAGTAAGTTTTACTATCTTTTTTCTATTAAACATTTGGGGGGGGATTAAGAAGAGAGTGTGGTGTTTTTGGCCAGAGTCTCACTGGCCTCGGGCTTCCTCTAGCACTTGGGTTTGTCCAGAGGAAACGTTTCTGGGTACCATGATGGGGGGAGGTTGGAACAAGGGGAACCTGGGGGGAGGGGAGGGA